AATCTGGCACGCGTCCTTGCAGTTCAACACCTTCCTCCTGTGCTGGGACAGCCCCTTAAAAGCCCCTCAAAAGGCCGGGCGGTGGTGGCGCACGCCTTTAATCCCAGCACTCGGGAGGCAGAGGCGGGTGGATCTCTGTGAGTTCGAGACCAGCCTGGTCTACAAGAGCTAGTTCCAGGACAGGCTCCAAAACCACAGAGAAACCCTGTCTCGAAAAAACCAAAAAAAAAAAAAAAAAAAAAAAAGGGAAGCAGGATGGCAGGCTACAAACTCCCTCCCTCGCTCCTGGGCCTCCCTGACTCCTCCGTGCTGTGGATGGAAGGAGAGGCTTTTCCAGGCAAAAGTAATATATAAAATAATATATAAAAATGTGCATTCCAGGGTTTCTGCTTCCTTTTCTATTTATTTATTTATTTTTGGATTTTTGAGACAAGGTTTCGCTGTAGTTTTTTTAGAGCCTGTCCTGGAACTAGCTCTTGTAGACCAGGCTGGCCTCGAACTCACAGAGATCTGCCTGCCTCTGCCTCCTGAGTGCTGGGATTAAAGGCATGCACCACCACCGGCCATCCCTTTTTTATTTATTTATTTTTATTTTTTAATATTTTTTATTTTTATTTTATTTGGTTTTTCGAGACAGGGTTTCTCTGTAGCTTTTGGAGCCTGTCCTGGAACTAGGTCTTGTAGACCAGGCTGGTCTTGAACTCACAGACATCCACCTGCCTCTGTCTCCTGAGTGCTGGGATTAAAGGCATGCGCCACCACCGCCTGGCCCTTTTTTTATTTTTATGGGATAATAATCTTTTACATTTTCCTTTTAATGTTTTAAATTTTCAAGTATTTTGACAATTTGAACACCCCCTCCCTTCCGTTTTCCAAGTTTGGGTGCTGAGGAGAAGCATCAGCCTCTCCCTTGCCCTCCCACCTTTGTCCCAGGGAGGTGAGGCCCGTGACAAGTCTAAGAGACAACACAGAGCCCGGTGTGTATCTGCAGAGGCTGTGCAGGGGGTGCTGAGCAACGTGGATCACTAGGGTGAAGGAAAAGAGAAATTGGGTTGTGGAGTTTTCTCTTTACTTATTTTCTTTTCCTTCCCCTCCTTCCTCTCTCCCCTCCCTCTCCCTCTCTGTTTCCCCTCCTCTCTCTCTCTCTCTCTCTCTCTCTCTCTCTCTCTCTCTCGTGTGTGTGTGTGTGTGTGTGTGTGTGTGCGTGCACGCGTGAACAAAAGATCGAATCAGGGCTTCACACATGCTAGGCAAGTGCCCCCCACCCTTTTAAGATTTATTAGCCAAAAATGGTGGCATAGGCCTTTAATCCCAGCACTGGGAGGCAGAGGCAAGCAGATCTGTGTTATTTCAAGGCCAGCCTGGTCTATGTAGCCAGGACAGCCAGGCTACATAGAGTGACCCTGTTCAAAAAAAAATTATTGTATATCTGTGGGTGTGTTTTGCTTGCACGTACATGCAGTGCCCAAGGAGGCCAGAACAAGTCCCTTGTAACTGTAGTTACAGACGGTTGTGAGCCACCGTGTGTGCTGGGAACCAAACCCAGGTCCTGTGCAAGAGCAGCCAGTGCTCTTAGCCACTGAAGCATCTTTCCAGCCCTCTGTTTTTGATTTGTGGAATAGGGTCTTTCTAAGATAGCCCATGATTCTCGCCAGCTTGTGATTCTTCTTCCTTAGCCTCCTGAGTCCTGGGATAAATTCTAGAGGGTCTCCACCAGCTCCAGGGTTTTAGGAAAAACTGAAATAGTCGGAACTGGGTTACAGCTGTAAGGTGTATTGACACATACTTTAACCCCAGCATCGAGGAGGTGGAGGTCTCGGAATACAAGGAGTTCAAGACCAGCTTTGGCTATAAAGCAATCTCAGGGCTAGCTTGAGCTACATGTCCAGATGTCCTGGATAAATGTGAAGTACAATCAAGGCCAGGAGCGGGACTCGTAGGTCCCTTGTCTTTACATACCATAGCTGGGGGGAGGGTATCTGGAGAGATTTGTTTTCATGGCTATATTTTCTCTCCTGCAGACCGGCATGGCCCTGCTCTTCCTGCTGGGCTGTGTTTTCTTCCCACTGTGCTTTGCTGGCCTCTGTTGGGGGCTGCAGAACCAAACCAACTTGCAGATGGAGAGGCAAGAGGCTGTTTTGGTGGCGTCAAAGTAAGATGGGAAGGTGGGCTATCTTTCCTGGGGCCAGGGCTGGTGGAGCTGAGGCGGCAGCTTGAGGAAAGGATACAGGGGAGAGTGAGTGGGGCTGCCTCAGTAGAATCTTCTGCAAGTCACTGGCTCTCTGAGCTTAGACCCTCATTTGGAAATGGGTTTAATACTAAAGACCATTTCTTTTTTTCCTCAGAGACATACGTGGGTCATGGGAATGAGTGTCTAAGGGCCATTGGGCTCTGGGGAGGTGGAGGGTGGGACTCCCAGGGCACCCAGGGCCTGTGCTCTACCACCCAGCTGCATCCCAATCTTTGTTCCCCTGAGATGCAGCTTTACCTTGTAGTCCAACAAAGCCTCATAGCAGGGGTTTCCTGGCTCAGTCTCCCCAGCGCTTGCCACTGAGTGTTTAGGTGAAATCAGCTAATAGTTTTCGTAAGAGTTGTCAGAGGGGGTGCACATACCATTGTTCATATGTGGAGGGCAGAGGGCAGCTTGCAGGTGTTGGTTCTGCCCCTCCTCCACGTGGGGTCCAGTTCTCTGTGAACTCAGTCATGAGGCCTGGCAACAGTCAGCTTCACTTGCTGAGCCATCTGGCTGGACTGAAGTGTGTTGCTTTTTAACTGATAACTCAAGACTGCAATTTAAGGAGATACTATCTTCTGCTGGCAACACCGCACTGGGCAAACGTGTTTGTGGGATGGGTAGGATCCTCAGGCCGTTAATATAAACCTGAGCACCGCCAGGGTGTGGCGAGGACAGGAGTGTGCAGTGCTGGGCACAGAACCCAGAGCCTCCACAATGCTAGACAACCACTGAGATATGTCTCCTGTCCCCAGTGGCAGAATTTACCAAGGTGTTTGTATAACTCCCTAGCAGAGAGGACAAATCAGAAGTGTAGACACCCAAGCCACTCCCCCGTCTCCCTCTGTTTTAATCTACACTGTCCACAGTTAGCTTACAGCCCCTTGACCAGGTCTGTAGTCCTCAGTCAAGAGGCTTTGATGCCAGCTCATCAGTCCGACTTTGGGCTTCCTGTACTTTTGCTCATCTTTGTTTCGCTGCGTATGTTTTTGTTGTTTGGGTTTTGTGTTTCTGTGTTTTGAGGTAGGATCTTACTCCATAGCCCAGGCTATCTTTTAACTTTTTTCAGGTTTGCTTGTTTTTGTTTTATTCTTTTACTCTTGGTGAGCCTCCTGCCTCGGCCTTCCGAGTACTGTGATTTCAGGCTAGGCTAGGTCCATCTGTCTACTGACAGGATCTCCCTATGTAGTTCTGACTAGCCTGGAACTCCCAGGAATCTGCCTGCAGTTCCTGGGTTGAATCAAACCCAAGCTGGACATAGCTTATGTTATCTTGGCAAGGCTCTTTTAAAGGTCTAAACTTTGGTTTCTCCTTCCCCAACCCTAGAAGGTCAAAGGAACGGCGACATAAAAATCTCCTTGTTCCGTGCCCGGACTGTAGTAACCCCCAGGAGGGTGGGCCCTTTCTCTTAGATCTTCAGGTCTACAATGGGTTCCCACACTGACTCCTGCGCTTGCCTGGGCCTAGACTTCCCTCAGTCATTCCCACAAACTGCCACTAGAGGGCAGCACAAAACAGCAAATCATCCCCTTCCTCTAGGGAGCACAGGGAGTAGGCTGTGGGCTAGAAAGGTCAGTTGTCAGTAGATTTTTGAGACTTATCTCAGGGCCAGCCAGAAACTCAAACTACAGTGTTAGGATGTCAGGCCCCATGCTATACAAGTCTGAAGGACTGTTGGGTTTGCGAAAGGCAGGCCTATAGGAAGGCCATGTTCCCATGAGGAGCAGCCATGGGGTAGGCCTAAGCTACCCTGGCCAAAGCACTGGCCCTGCTTTCCCCTTGGATTAGATGAGGGGTTTAAGTTAACCAACCTCCAGGCTCTTCCTCCTTCATAGACTGTTCTGGGGAGTGGCAGGAGAAAGGGAGCCAAGGCAGCAGGAGAAGGGAACCCAGGAGGCCGCGCAGTCTGAGGAAGGGATCTGGCTTCCATGGAGACACAGGGGCTTCCAAGGCAGCATCTTCTTTCTCTCAGGCCCACTCTCATTCCCCTCTCCCCGAGGTTGGCACTTTCCCTGTAGCCCAGGCTAGCTTTCACGTGAGATCCTCCTGCATGGGTCCCTTGTGTGTCACACTGCTAGGAGCACACGAGGAGCCACTATGCCTTTAACCCTAGTGCCAGCGTTGCTGGCACGGGCTCTGATAATGAACCTTCATCCCCCCTTAGCCCTGTTCCTAGTCCTTCTTAACTTTCTGACCCTGGCGATGTGGGCTCACCCCTCAGGACCATTTCCTGACCTCTAGAAGCCTGGTGCTGTCCCCACAGTGAGGCAAGGACACGAGACAGAGGGAGACGGAGGACATGGGAGGTGCCGGGTGCGTGTGAGTTTCCACTCCTGACTGGAGAAGGGGGGGCCTCTGGCTCTGAAGGGCACTGTGCGGCCGTTGTGTTCCCAGCCATGCTTCAGTGTTCCCTTCGGGCAAAGCAAGAGGCCCCACCTACTTGGGCTGCCTTCCCCGGGGAATCTTCTCAGCTGGAGTGGGCACCCCTGAGCTGAGATCCCTGCAGGTCACTGAGGGACACACATTAATGTTTATAAGCCTTGGCAGGAGGGGGTGCCAGACATTTCCAAAGTACTGATGGGAAAGGGGCTCAGAACGCCCTGCCAGCCAAAGGAGTCCGGGGCCACCTTCTTTCCCAAGAGAAGAGCCATCTCTCCCCTAGTTCTGGTCCCTAGCAGCCCCCTGCGCTGCAGCTGCTGTCTCTTTAAGGGCCTCCCCCTCCCTCTTTCCCTGTCCCCCCCCCCCCCATCTCTGTCGCAGCCGCGGCTGTGGCTCAGAGCTGCATGGGAGACAAAGCTGCCGCAGGTCCGGTTTCTTGGTGTCTGGTCGGTGCCATCATTTCCCTCCCCCTCTCCCACCCTCCCTAAGCTGGTGGCTTCCCCTCCCCCTCCCCCTCCTCACAGAGGGGGCAGGGGGCTGGGCACCAACTCTGCCATGCCATGTGCAGTGTCCGCACAGGGCATTGGGGCTGTGGCAGCAGCAGGAGGAGGCGGTGGTGGCCTGTGGTGGCGGGAGAGCCGCGTTGACTGGTGACCAGTTGCCCGGCTGCTCTCGGCTTGCCTCGGTCCTTCCCACCCTCCCTTTTTCTGGGCTGGCACCATCATCCCCCCCCCCCCCCGCCTCCTTGGGCCCTCCCAGCCTCTCCACGTAAGCCCCCCCACCTGCCGCGGCTCTCCCTCCCCTCCCCCAACTGCATCCTCCTCCTCCTCCTCCTGTCCCCTCTCCTGCTTGGTCCTCTCACCAGGTCCTCCCTTGGTCGTCTCTTCCCATCCCTCTCACTGGCATCCTCCCACCCCCTCTCTACTCTGCCTAGCTAGCTTTCTTTCTGTGTCCCCAGTCTCATTGAAATCCCTTTCTCCCTTGCCCTGGACTAGCCCTCTTGTCCCATCCTGTCCCCGCCCTGGCCCCTTTGTGCCTCCCCTTCCCTCTTTCTCTCTCCTTCTCTGGCTTGCCATCCCTTCTCCACCTCTGACTCCCTCAGTTTGGCTTTCTTGTCCTTTCTGGCCCCTCTGGTCTCCCTGCCTGGGTCCAAGTCACCATGCTCACCCCAATGGTGGCTGGGGGGGTGGTGTTCCCCGGACTCTTCCTCTTATCCAAGAACACGCTCCAGAGGCTGCCCCAGCTGCGCTGGGAGGAAGCCGATGCTGTCATTGTCTCCGCCAGGTAAATGGCATGCCTTCCCTGAGTTCAGCCTCTCTCCCCCAAACAGGCTTCCTGGGGAAGGGGCCTCAGCACCTCCCTGGGCTCTGCAGCAGTGGGGAGGTTTAGATGCAAGCTTCCTTCCCACCTTGGACCTCACCGTCCCCCGAGACCTCATTGAAACTCGGCCATCTGGTCTACTATCCAGCTTGATCTTGCTTGTCCCTCTCCCACCCTCTAAAGCAGGCCAGCATGTGACCAAAGAGTCCCACAAGATACAAGGAGCAAGTCAAGGGGCGAGATCGCGCTTTTCGGGGCTAGTGTTTGCGGGTCAAGGCACAGAGAAGTAGATGGGGAAACTTGTATATCCCCAGAATAGGGCCATCAGGAAGAGGACCATGGAAACAGTCAAGGAAATAGTGGGAAAGTGGCGGGGGTGCTTGGGGTCACTGTGGGGCCAGTTACTGTAGGTATGAGCAGCATAGTGACGGGGTAACCAAACGGTGCAGGAGCAACTGGGGACTCCTGTGTCCCTCACGGGTCCCTTCCCCCCTCCCCAGGGAGAGACCTCACTGTTAGCCATTCCCAGCACTGGCTCACCTCAGAATGATCTCCCTGGTGTCCTGGGAGGAAGGAGACTCTACTGTCACAAACTAGGAGTGAAGAAGGCTTGGAGAGGCGGGAACTGAGGGATCGCAGCTAAGCGTGGCTTCACTGAAAGCAATAGCGAGAGAGCGTGGCTTGGGGGGAAGCTGACGAGAAATGGCCCCGAGAAGCACAGGGTCCACTGTGGCAGCAAGAAGAGAAATGGAGGCACACGCCTTATTTTCCCTCCTTCTGTCTCCCTAGGCTGGTGTCCTCTGTCCAAGCCATCATGGCCTCCACAGCTGGCTACATAGTCTCCACCTCCTGCAAGCACATCATTGACGACCAGTAAGTGCCCCATGACCAAATCTGCCATGCCCCAGCAGCAGAGGTGTGGGAACCAGGGTCCCCCAGATCTGTAGTGGTCCCTGAACTTGGGCCCACGCAAGTTCATGTGATTATTGCAACTCAATACCAGGGATAAATTTATCGGACCCTGTCCTAAAGGTCAGAAGCAAGGAAGCAGGGGTGGGTACCAAAGAAACTCCTCAAAGTAATTCCCAGGCAGCTTCCCGGCCTCCTGTCATGAGTTCTGAGTGCCAATCAACTCTTGCATCCCTCAGACTCTGTTTCCATCCAGAACCTCCCTGAGTGCCTCCTCACCAGGCCAGGCTCATCTCTCAACTTCTGGAGTCCGGTTGTCTCAGGGGGAAGAGAAAGAGATGACATAAGTCCACCGAGGGTCAGGCAGTGGGGGCGGGAGTAGGGTGAAGAGGCCAAAATTTGGCACTGGCAGCGACTGCAGTGTTTGGTGCTTGCCAAAAAGGTCCAGGCCTGAAAGGTGGGGCTGGAGGAGGGTGAAGGGGAAAACACTGGCCCTGTCCGTGGTGCTGATCCGCCCATTTTTAGCTGGCGGTGGGCGGCTGCAAGCTTGCCGTGTGCTCAGGACAGTTTCACTCATACTTTCTGGCTCTTCTGCCCTTCTGTGGTGTCCTCTGAGCCTCAGGGGACATTGTCTGGGTGACCCTGGTCTCCATCCGCCTTCTGGTGTCTATTTGTCTCTTTTTCCAGTGAGTGAGTTCTCTCCTCCTAAGCCCTAGAGTGAGGTCACATCCTTCCCCAGAGGGGCTTCTGCCTGGAGGCATTGAGCGCTAAGTGCCTAGAACAGTTCTTGGCTCCATGGTTCAGGGCTTTAACTCTCAGGATCCTTCTCCGTGACTTGACTCCAGCTTGCCCTCTCCGAATGCCTTCCGCAGTCAGAGGGTCCAAAAGGAGCCTGGGCACCAGGAAGTTCCTCCTCACCTGTTCCCACCTAGAGGCCACCTTTTGGCTCTTGCGTTCCTACCCCCTAGCCCCGTCTTGACCCTGTTCCCCCTTTAATCCTCAGGTAGGTGGGAGGGTCGGGGCTAATCCGGGGCAACAGCTGTTCTTGCTTCTGAGCATCTAATTGCTGACAGAGCAGAGATAGAATCTGACACCTCACTTATCAGCTCAGGAGCCTGAGCCCCTCTGGCTCCCCCATAGCCCAGAGTCCCGTGAGACCATTCTTCCAGCACATCCCTAGGCAGGCTCCGAGTCTTCTCTGAGCATGGTTGGATCCTGCCAGTATTTCTGCTCTCTATCTCTTGCCAAAGCCTCTCCCCATCCCTCCCTACGTGACTCTGGGCCACATTCCCCTACACCATTGCAATGTGGGTCCTTTTGAAGGTGAGCTGCTCCTCACTTCCAAGCCAGCCAGCCTGGGCAAGCTGGGGCTATTTTGTGCTCACCCCATCCCCAGCCAGTCTGTACCCTCAGTTCTCCCTCTCCAGAACCCTCACTTGGTGTACGCTGGCCAGTCCAGTTGGCTTTTGCTCTGCTCCGTCTATCTCCCACCCCCACCCCAGGCCCGCCTGAGGACTCCTGGCCTTGAGAAAGCCTCAGTGCTGACTCAAGAGAAAAAGCGCAGCGTTGCCTGTTCTTGTGCTTCCCGTATTTGTTTACTCCAAAGTCTGTAGAACTTTCTCTCATCTTGGCATCTTTGCTCAGCATTTTCTCTTTACTGCTGGCCGGACCTGAACTAACAATAGGCACACCATCTCAGAGCTAAGGCTAGCTGCCATGATGGCCCTCTGCTTCACTAGGGATGGGCTCCAACCTTTCTCTAACCTTCTTGAGACAGTGGGGCTGATGGCAAGGACTTCTGTGGTTCTCCCTTGGCTGTATCACTTAGCCTCTCCGTGACACAGGGTTTCACGAGCAGTGACCGACTTGCCGCTGTGTAAAGATTTAAGTACCCGCGTAGTGCCTGGCATGTGAGAAGCTGTCGCATCAGCTGGTGCTGGGCCACGGGATCGCTACGGTGCTTGGAAGTGCTAACTGGGGCCATCTTTGTACCTGCCCGCATCTCATTCTCCTCAATGCTCACGATCGCCAGCACTCTGGTCTCCTCTCCCTACGACACTGCAGAGGCAGGGGTGGGTGGAGGGTAAGAAGCAATGACCCTTGGAGAGAAAAGGACAGAGACATGGTGGGTTGTGAGGTCTGCCCAAACCTCAGAAGCTAAGTGGTGGATCCCCACCTTTAACAGCCTTCAACTCTGGCATCTGCAACTCAAGCCTTGGGGTTTGTTCTGAGAGCCCCCGGGGATGCTAGCTCACTCCCATTAAGCATCCTGCTCCCCTCCAACCTGTCTGCTTCCTCTTCCCTTTCTCCTCCCTGCAGGCACTGGCTGTCCTCGGCCTACACACAGTTTGCGGTTCCTTACTTCATCTATGACATCTACGCCATGTTCCTCTGCCATTGGCACAAACATCAGGTCAAAGGGCACGGAGGGGAAGACGGGACGCCCAGAGCCCTGGGCAGCACCTGGGCCGTGGTCCGCGGCTACCTGCACAAGGAGTTCCTCATGGTGCTCCACCACGCGGCCATGGTGCTGGTGTGCTTCCCACTCTCGGTGGTGAGTCCTCCCTCCTGGAGTCAGGAGAGCTGGGGTGGCTGCGAAAAGCTGCTGTGCCCCAGCATGCCAGCACTGCAACACAGAGGTCCCGGGTAGTGGGGTTTAGGGTGGGTTTCCTGTGCAGCATTCTACCTGGACCTCAGGAGCTCCAAGTCAGTCTGTAGTGCTACAGTCTGGGAGGTTGTCCTTCCTTGTGGTGTGAGGCAAGCCTTCCTAAGCCAGAGACTTGTAAAACAGGCAGTACCCCTGCTTGGCAGTGCCCTCAGAGCACTCAAATTCCAGGACGACATGTCTCTCTGGGCAGAGGAGGTAGCTCCGCTGACAGTGTTTCTGCAGCATGTGTGAAGCCCCAGGTTTAATCCCCAGCATTTTGTAAGGCCAGACAGCTCCTGAGAGTGGAAGTGAGAAGACAGGAAGTTTAAAGTCGCCCTCAGCTCCACAGTGGGTTTGAAGCTGGTCCGGGGTACATGAGACTCTTGTCTTACAAAAGAAAAAGCTGCCAGGCGGTGGTGGCGCATGCCTTTAATCCCAGCACTCGGGAGGCAGAGGCAGGTGGATCTCTGTGAGTTTGAGGCCAGCCTGGTCTACAGAGTGAGTTCCAGGACGGTCTTTGGCTATACAGAGAAACCCTGTCTCAGAGAGAGGGGGTGGGGTTTGACAATAGGGCTGAGAGAAGATACAATAATTGTTCTCAAGCACAACGGCCTGAGTCTTTTTGAAAAGCTGGGCTTAATCCCAGCTCTGGGGGAGTGAAAGCAGTGAAGTGGGGCTCGCTGGCTAGACCAACCAAGTGACTGAATCCCTGGGTTGGTGAGAGACCCTGCCTCAAAACAGTAAGACAGAGAGCAATTGAGGAAATTGATCTCTGGCCTTTACATTCATGCCTGCACACATGTGCATACACACATAAACACATACACACACGAGTCTCTGAAGGTGACAGGAGCCAGGCATGCAGACACAGCTCCTCAGGCCTTGTCTTTTCCCTCAGGTGTGGCGGCAGGGCAAGGGGGATTTCTTTCTGGGCTGCATGTTGATGGCCGAAGTGAGCACGCCCTTCGTCTGCCTGGGCAAGATCCTCATCCAGGTGAGAGTGGATCTGAGGGCCTGAGGGCCCGTGGGGTGGACACGGCCGGGGACTTTAGGGAATCCTCCAAAGATCATGCAACCTCCCAGCATGCTGGTGTGTGCCTACAGCCCTAGCACTAGGAAGACTGAGGCAGGAAGATCATGAATTTGGGACTTGCCTGGGCTACATAGCAAGAATAAGGCTGGGTGGTGTGGCGGTGGTGCATGCCTTTAATCCCAACACTTGGGAGGCAGAAGCAGATGGATTCCTGTGAGCTCGAGGCCAGCCTGGTCTACAAAGTGAGTTCCCAGGACAGCCGGGAGTGTTTGCACAGAGAAACCTTGTCTTGAAAACAAAACAACAAAAAGAATAAGACCAAGAATAAGAGCACTGGCTCGGTGTGGGAGGAGCCATAGGCGGCATGGAGGGCAGGTAGCTGTGGGACCGGGCAAGGAGAGGGCTCTCCCTGCCCTGCCATGCTGCTCTGTCCACAGTACAAGCAACAGCACACGTTGCTGCACAAGGTGAACGGCGCCCTGATGCTGCTCAGCTTCCTGTGTTGCCGGGTGCTGCTCTTCCCCTACCTGTATTGGGCCTACGGGCGCCATGCCGGCCTGCCCCTGCTCTCCGTGCCCCTGGCCATCCCGGCCCACGTCAACCTGGGCGCCGCGCTGCTCCTCGCACCCCAGCTGTACTGGTTCTTCCTCATTTGCCGCGGGGCCTGCCGCCTCTTCCGACCCCGAGGTCCCCCACCACCCTCTCCCTGTCAGACTCAGGACTGAGGCTGGGGCTTGGGAGCCCTCCTCCCCAGCCCCGCGGAGACAGGGCTTTGGGGCCAGTGGGTTGGGGGTGAGAGCCAGGAGTCCCTTGCCTTGACAACCCCAAGACAGAAAGACTCAGAACAGGGAGGAGCTAAATACCCTCAGGAGCTGAGGTCGGAGGAGTGGAAGGCAGGGAGAGAGGGGACCGGACCGGGATGAAGAGCTTCTTTCGGCCTCTGTGCTAACAGAAGGAAGGGAAGTGGGAGTGTCAGACATTGTACTGAGGTCTGGAGAGCTGGGCTCAGTGGGACCAAGGTGTCAAGGGACAAGGGGGTAAGCCCCGCTGCTAAGGACATCCCAGCTCCGCTGCTGCAAATCCCTCCCTGCTCCCCATCACCTGGGAGAGAGAAGACACCCTAACTCATCCCATGTGGGCAGGTGACCCCTACAGTTCCTTCCTGCAGAGACCGATGTGAGGAACCTTATTTATTTTTTCGCCTGTCTCTGATTTGTTGGGGTAGGGGGAGGAAGGTGAAGGCTCCCTTACAACCTTCCCAGTGCTGAGCAACCCTGGGGGCAGGCAAGGGCGCCAGCCCCTTCTTAGGCTGCACATTTCGCCCTCGGGCCCTGGCTTGTCCCTGGTGCTACAGATCTCTCATGGCTTCCTCCGGTCTGGGGTCACAGACCCTGGGAGGTGCTTTTACAGACCGCTAATAAAGACGATCTTCGTGAACGCCAGCAAGGCTCTCGGGTCCACTTTTTGGGGGCTGGAAAGGGAGGAGGTAAGGGGATAGATACATAGAGGAAGGAAGGAGGGCATGGGCATGGGGTGGATGGCCACAGGGAGGATCACTGACAGCCTGGGAGGAAGGGGAGGTGTGAATGGACACATAAGAGGGTCACTGGGCAGTCAAGGAAGGAGGAGGGGATGGGGAGTGGATGGCCACAGAAAGGGTCACTGCGGCAGCCAGGAAGGAAGGAGGCACTGCCTTTATTTCTCAACAGAAGACCAGTAGATGCGTAGCACACAGCAGAATCCAGGGCTCCTGTCTGGCTCCTCAGGCCCCTTTCTGGAAGCTCCTGAGGAGTGTGGAGAGAGATCAAATGGGGAGGGCTCATAGGAGACCTGCGTTCTCGGGAAGGGGTAGGGCAGGGCATGGAGACAGGACTCACACGTGCATGCAGAACTGCAGAAGGAAGAGGAAGAAGGCCAAAAGCAATGCGCCCACCAGAATGTGCTGAAAGAGCCCAGGGCCGGAATCTGCCAGACAAGAGCAGAGTTCTCCCAGGTCCTGCTGGGAGGCAGGCCCCTCTATCAAGGCAGTTCATACCTGTCCTTACAAAGGTCACAGGTTTCTCTCCAATAAACTGGGCCACAGCAAAAAGGCTAGCTTGGTCTGAGTCTGGGTAATCAAAGAAGTCAGGCCTGTCTACAAAGAGCCCGGAGTTGGCTTCTGGTATTGAGGCATCGGTGCCAACTCTTCTGGGTGCTAAGAACCAAAGCAAAATCTGTGACAAGAGTCCCTCGGGCCCATTGTGCCTACCCGAGAAGCCAGGCAAACTCAGGGCCCTGCTCCTTTTGTTGCCTGGGCTGGGTGAGCTCCTATTAGATGCCCACCATGTCTGAGACGGGGAGGGTAGCACCTGGATGCAGAATGGAAGAGAAAAGCCTGCCCAAGTGCCTTGGCTCCCGGTTCTAATCCTATCGCTTGGCAAGAACGAGGGAGGGGAGGGGAAGGTAAAGGAAGGGGAGGGGAAGGGAGAAAGGCCTGGGGCTGGGCTGGCCTCCTGATCACAGCCAAGCTGCCTCCTTATTCTCAAGCCTCCTTCACTCCTGCCGTTCCCGAGCCCAGCTTCCCACCTGTCTCTACAGCCCCCAGCTCAGTCATCCCCATCCACAGGCACACAGGCACCCACTGCCACAGCTCCATAACCCCTTCCCTGCTATAATTCTGTGATTCTATGATGTCACAGGCCAGAGCCATTCCGAGAGTCTGACGCAGAAGAACCCCCTGAGCCTCATCCTCGGGGATGGCACTGATACAATGTGGTGGGGGGCTGGGGATGTAGCTCAGTGGTGTACACAGGCCTCCTTGGGTTCAGTCAAGCGGTCACTGGCGTCCGGCTGGTGTCCCAGAACTTACTGGGACTATACAACAATGTATTTGTACAGCAGCTGTATTTGGGAGGTGAAGTGGGTGGGCTACACACCTCCAGTTGTCCTTTGGACCAACCACAACTGTTGTTTATCAAATGCTTATTAAAATGCCAAGAAATTTGCACAGATTGGCTCATGTAATTTGCAGAAGCCCTAAGAGGGAGGAGCAAACCAGTGTGCAGTGGGAAGAGAGGTGCGCTGAGGCTCTACGCTTCCCACGGGTGTTCATTTTTCTATCTGGGGCTCCCCTTAGCCTTCTGTCCCCAGATTCAGGGGTCTGCATCCATACATCTCCAGGCTTGGTCTTAGTGCTCAGCAGCGACAGAAGCGCAGAGATGAGGAACAGGAGAAATAGCAGTCTTTCCCACCAGGTGGCAGCAGTGCTCCTCCGTGCTACCCTCGCTCCTGCAAGTCACACCGGGTGCGGCAGGCAGGTTCCTCTCTCGGGACTGGCTGTCAGGAGTCGTTCTGGGAACTCCCCCCAGCTTATCCCAAGGTTAGTCTTGTGGCCATTCAAAAGAATCTAGATGATTCACCTCATCGTAGGTCAGTTTCTCCGTTGGTGGTATTGCTGGCACGTGTGCGCACCCACCACCACACCACACCCCCACATCCCAGCCTCACCCCTCTAGCTCCCACAGTCCTCCTGGTGTCACTCCCTTATTGCGACTTACGCTCCCCTCCCGAGTTGTAAGAGGTAGCTCGCCTCTGATTGGCAGTTAGACCTGTCTATCACAAATGTATTCCAGCCCACCCGGGCCAAGGACACTTCAGGGTCTCCTTGGTGGCTCCGGTGCCTGCGCTTGTTATTGAGACTCCTAACTACTCTGTTACTCCGCTTGGCCCCTAGGTGGCGCCTCTGTCTTTCCCGCACTGACGACCCACCTGTTTTCCACCTAAGAACCTTGCCACGATCTGCTTTTCTTGTCTTGTCTTTCTTGTTTTGTTGTTTTGTTTTGTTTTTGAGGCAGGGTCTCACCATGCAGCCTTGGCTGTGCTGGAGCTAGCTAGCTCTTGTAGACCAGGCTGGCCTCGAGCTCACAGAGATCCGCCTGCCTCTGCCTGCTGGGATTAAAAGTGCGCACCACTACATCTGGTTCAGCTTTTATTTTCTCAACAAAAACACCTAGAGAACTAGGCAGGGGATGCACACCTCGAAATGCCACCTCTGGAGGTTAGAGCAGGAGGGACACATAGAAAGATCCCATTTGAAATTTTTAAAAAAATGTATGAGAGGCCCTGCTTTAAAAAAAAAAAAAGGCAGAGGCTACCCTCTGGGGATAGCATAGCACCCACACCTGGCATGGTTTACCTTCGTGATTCTTGAAAAGCCTGTGTACTCAGGTGTGATCTTCTGAGTTATATTAAAACAGCTTTACCAACTCCCAACACTGCTTAAGAAAGACAAACAAGAAGCCAAAGTGGAAGCCGGGTGGTGGTGGTGGTAGCACATGCCTTTAATCCCAACACTCCATGAGTTCGAGGCCAGCCTGGTCTACAGAGCGAGTTCCAGGACAGGCTCCAAAGCTACAGAGAAACCCTGAAACCCTGCTTGTTTTGTTTTGTTTTTTTGTTTTTCGAGACAGGGTTTCTCTGTAGCTTTGGAGCCTGTCCTGGAACTAGTTCCTAGCTCTTGTAGACCAGGCTGGTCTTGAACTCACAGAGATCCACCTGCCTCTGCCTCCCAAGTGCTGGGATTAAAGGCCTGCACCAACACCGAAACCCTTAAAAAAAAAAAAGAAAAAAAAAGAGGAAGAAGCCAAAGTGGGAAGTCTTGAGGAAATATGCCTGTTGTCCTCTATGCATGTGACCCCACAAAAATGCACAGCCCACCCACATACACATAACCAACAACAAAACCCCTGGGGTTGGAGAGATGGTTCGGTGGTTAAAAGCACTGACTGCTCTTCCAGAGGACCTGAGTTCAATTCCCAGCACCCACATGGTAGCTAACAACTATCTCTAAGATCTGATACCCTCAGACAACATACATGCAGGCAAAATATCAATGCACAAAAACAAACAAACAAACAAACAAACAAAAACCCACCCCCATTTTACCGGCCAGTCAGTAAGGCAGTTGCGACCCTTTCCCCTCAAGGAGATCTCCCATTCTTTCATCTGTCTGACCATTAATTAGAAAATGTACTGGAGACCGGGCAGTGGTGTTGCACGCCTTTAATTCCAGCACTCAGGAGGCAGAGGCAGGAGGATCTCTGTGAGTTTGAAGCCAGCCTGGTCTACAAGAGCTAGTTCCAGGACAGGCTCCAAAGCTGCAGAGAAACGCTGTCTCGAAGAAGAAAAAAAAAAAAAGAAAGGAAGGAAGGAAGAAAGAAAGAAAGTGTATAGGGCTCCTGCTATGTGCTGCACTGGGCTCAGTTTATGGCTTAGATAGAGCATGATTTCAGAGGCAGAAAGGCAGAGGCAGGAGGATCTTTGTGAGTTCCAGGACAGCCAGGGATATATAATGAGATGACACTGGCTCAAAACACAAAACAAAATCCTCAGAATCCATACAGAAGTGCGCACATATAACCCCAGCCCTTCTACTTGGAGACGAGAGGACAGGGATGGGGCCAGAAACTTCTTGGAAGCTCTCTGGCCAGCTGGGGAAAGTAGAGAAAGAGACCTTGTCTCAAAGCAGAAGATGAGGCAGATATGTGAGGCTGTCCTTCCACATCCATCCCCATGGCACACACCAACATGTGAGGAGGGAGGGAGGGAAGGAGGGAGGGAGGGAGAGAAAGGAAGGAGGAAGGGAAGGAGGGAGGGGAAGGAAGGAGGGAGGGAGGGAGAGAAAGGAAGGAGAGAGGAAGAGAAAGGAAGGAGGGAGGGAGAGAAAGGAAGGAGGGAGGGATGGGCAATTTCTGCCTTGTGGGAGCCTGAGAAACAGCTCACAGGTGCGCCTTGCTTTGGGAGAGAGACACCTTACAGGACTGGCAGGCACCTGCTACCTGCACACCCTCAGTCCCCCTGAGGGGCGTTCTGCTCTCCACTGGCCTCACTAGCGCCCCTTTGCTGATGTCCACCAGTGGAGGTTACTTCCCTTTTTATTTTGCGTCTCAGCAGGGTGCCCTGTCCCTCACCCTCACTAGTCCTCCCCCCCCACTCCTCTGGTTGGCTGGGCCTTGGCCTTCTCTTTCCATGTATATTCCCTCTCCCTAGGTGATCTCATCCATTCTCACGGCTTTAAATACCATCTATATACTGATGACTCACAAATGTATATTTCTAGCCCAGACCTCTCCTCAGCGCTCCAGACTCCTATACCCAACTTCCTGCTTTATGTCTCTGTGTCGAAAAACATCTTGAGTGCCATAACCCTACACAAAGCTCTCGATTCTCTTTCTCCAAGCCTGCTCCTCTCTCTCCATCTCAACCAGTGCTTCCATGATTCCCCTAGACCGGGAACCCGAGAATTATCTAAGGTCTTCCTTCTTACCTGACAGTCCCCAGGTGAGCATCTGCCGGTGCCATTTCTGACAGGAAGCTTCTCTGTGTAGATGTGGCTTACAGCTGCAATCCAAGGTAGAAGAGGTTGACAATCAGGGATCCCAACCAGCCTGGGATGTAT